GTATCAATCACTTTCTCCTCCTCAATCTCAAAGCACATTTATAAATATGAGCTCCTTTGACACCCCATTTGGGGAGTGATTTATGGTTATTGTCACACACAGTTATCTGACTATCCCATTAGAGTATAAGCCTCAGAGAACAGAGGTCAACATTTATCTTTCAGTTCCTCTACTACCAGCCATCCTGCCTTACATGAAGTATCACATAAACATGCATTTTATGAATAAGTGAATAAATAAAAGAATTACATGTAATAATAAGCGATTGTTGTTGCTGTTTAGTTGTCCAATTGTGCTGGTCTCTTTGTGACCCCATGAATGGCAGCACACCTGGCCTCCTTGTCCCTCACCATCTCCCAGAGTTTGCCCAAGTTCATGTTCATTCCATTGGTGATGCAGGGTATTTGTTTTGTGGGGCACTGTCTATGCCAAAGAAGGTGTCTATGCTGAAGAAAAAAAAATTGGGCTAAATAAACATAAATTTTACTAATAACTTATTTCCTATTTGTGTCTTAAGATAGGGCCACTCAGGTGACTCAGTGTTAAAGAATCTGCCTGCCAATGCAGGGGATATGGGTTTGATCCCTGGATTGGGAAGATCCCCTGGAGAAAATGGCAACCCATGCCAGTATTCTTGCCTGGAAAATCCCATGGACAGAGGAGCCTGATGGGCTACCGTCTTAAAATACTCACTAAATAAAGTTCCTAAATTATTTTCTTCAGAGTTGAAAAACAGACTCCCACCTAATGGAAATTTTTCTTTTTTTTCAACTCTTGTTCTACCTATGGTGTTTTCAACACCAATGAAGTTATTTTTGCTCAATCAAATTCTTTGCTCTTCTTGACTCCCAGCAATCTTTGCACACAAGGGTGTGCTGAAAAACCATTTTTTCAAAAGAATAAAGCCTTGATTTTTAGCATTTACCAGTTTTCATGATGTAAATGTGAGGCCCCGAGGCATTCGTCTTTCTATTCCCTTCAGGAGCTTAACCAAACATTTTCCAGCCACGTCTAGCTCACACATCTCTATCATAGGCCTTATCTTATACATGAAGATTTCTTGTCCTGTAGACAATCAGAGAAGGATAGGAAATGCTGTAATGTAATGTAATTAGGGAAATGTTGACTTTATCAAATTTTCACTCTGTATGTCAAAAACTTAGCATTCTCTGCAAGGACTCACACAACATTCCCTCAAGTTTCAGAGCAGAACTTGTCCTTGTTTTAATTTCAAAGAATGTTCCTCCTTCAGTCCTCTTGACCACATTTACTTCTTTGTCCTCTGGAATGTTATGGAATCACTTATGCTCCATCTGATAAATTTGCAACATCACTCTTGCAGCTAGTTCCTGTCCTAACAATGTATAAATATGTTCAGTGTATCTTATTAAACACTAAAAACTTCTACCCTACCAGACAGTAAAAATAACATGTTTTTTTAATGATAAAGCCTTTCAATCTTAACCAATCTCTCATACCATCTCATTCAAGTTGCTTAACAGATTAGTCTCAATTTCCTCACCCATTTTCTCTATTTTTTCATTATTAAAAATATAATATAGAAAAATGTACAACTTTAATATAAAGATGAACACAACTGCCCCCCACACACACACCAAAAAAAAAAAAAAAATTAGCTATTTCCTATCAAGTGGTTGCACCACTGGCATTTTGGTACATTTTCTTTCAGCTTTGTTTCTAAACCAGTAACTATGTATGTACATGTATGTATGTGTGTGTGTGTTTTCAATGTTGGAATTAGAGTATATACGAGTTTTGTATGTGTATGTTTTTATTTGTCATTATTTCATGGGCATTGCTCAATTATATACACGTTCCTTTAAAAACTTGATTTTTAAGTTACTGAAATTAAAAAAAATTGATTTTTTTAAATGATTGCATTATATTTTAAGGAATAAACAAACCCTAATTTATACCACTATTCATACATGCCATTCACTGAGGATTTCTAAGAAATTAGGCTTTAATCTCAACCACTTCACTTAGCAATGACCTCCTAACTGCCAAAACCTCATTTCCTTCTGGATCTTACTTGGACTTTTTGCAACAGTTGACAAAGCAATACAGTCCTCTTTTCTTAAAATATTTTTACCTTGTCTTTCATAATGTCAGATTTTTATTATCTTTTTTACCCTATTTGTCTAACAATTTTCCTCAGTGAACTTTGCTTGCCCCTCCTCTTCACACANGGCTTTAATCTCAACCACTTCACTTAGCAATGACCTCCTAACTGCCAAAACCTCATTTCCTTCTGGATCTTACTTGGACTTTTTGCAACAGTTGACAAAGCAATACAGTCCTCTTTTCTTAAAATATTTTTACCTTGTCTTTCATAATGTCAGATTTTTATTATCTTTTTTACCCTATTTGTCTAACAATTTTCCTCAGTGAACTTTGCTTGCCCCTCCTCTTCACACATATGTTCTATAGTTTTCACTTTATTCTTAAACATTTTTCATCTAAACCATGACTTTAAATAGCACTGCACACAAAAAATCTGGATTTGGAAGAGTAGTGATTTTCTTTTCTTAAATATATGTTTGTTTTACAATCCTTATAGGTAAGAAAGCTTTTCCACTCTTTTTTTTTTTTTGAGATTAAATGTGTCTAGATTACACCTTTGGGCAAGATAAAAAGGGGGCTCTATAATGGTGCTTCTATCTGAATCACAACTGACAGCATCAGCTTCAGAAATCAGAATAATAAGAACTTCAGGACAAGTGAATTCAGGGAACATTATACTTTTGTATATGTATTTTCCTGAGCAAACTGGATTATTTTCAATAGGTAGAGAAAAATCTAGCCAAATTTACATATAAAATTACCAAGTTATCAAGATGTAGTCTGAAAAAAGACTTCTTATTTGACAGTCTTCTAAGTTATTTGACTTACAAAATGAACTTTTTAGTAATTATGTTGCTACTAGAACACTACAAAGTAGTGAAATCACTTTGGCTACTCTTCTTTGGTCAGCATGAAGCGTGCTATCTCATTTTCCTCCAGGTAGTTTTTACAGTGGAAATTAATCATATAAATACAGCTTTTACTCAGAGGTAAACAGGCTCAGTGTTCCACAGACTGGCTTATTCTCTACAGTATACCCAGGCAGAATATTAAAAGCAAAACAATTTCATAACACCAAATGCTTTATGTTACAGGTAGAATCCCAAGACAATGAATATTGTTATCAAGATGAGGTTTTTATAACAAAAACTGTTCTGTGATCTGGTAATGGCCATAACAGTACTTTGTTGAGCTGGTTAGGTATTTTTCTCTGGTGCCAGCTCTTAGAAGAGTCAATCTGTCTAACAAAAGTAGCTGATGTTGTATTGTATATACCGTAGGTAGTCAGGAGAGATGAAATCTTCATACCTTATATTTAGAGAGAACTATGAAGTCTTAAAAACTAGTTTATCTTTTACTTCATTTGATTTCCATATTAAACTTGAGAAACATGTTAGAGCAAAAATTTCTATCCTCACTGAATGTACTGAGATACTGAGGTTTAAATGACTGAACTGACTTGCTAAATTTGATTACGAACTCAAACTCCATGACTCCTAACCCAGAAAGTGTTCTCTTCTATTATTTATTTTGATGTGTCAATAAATAATAATTACCTTTTCCTTTAATCCATTCCAACTGATCTCACACACTTCTCATGCACTTTCTTTTAGATGTGAAGGACAAGGCAAGAGTAGACACAGCAGCACTTTACAATCTTTTATTTGTTAGGTCTCATTTGTTTCCACTCTATGATACATACCTCAAAATTTGATTTCTAACAACATAATCAATAATGGAAATCTATCAATGAACCAATTTGGAAGCACAGTGAAGAGAGAAACCCTGGTGTCATGGAAACCACTTTCCTACAATGGATCTTAGTTTCCCCCACAAACAAATGAGTATAGCACTACTTGTCTTACATGGTTATTGACAGCTACTGCCTACCAAAGGCCCTCGTGAAAATCTGGGGAATATTTCAGGCATCTTTCCCTTCCCCTCACTGCTCACATGCCTAAAGACACAGAGAACTGTTGATTCTATGCTCTGAAAAGCTCTGGAATTTTTCTTTCCAATCCCATCTCCACCACCTCTCACTTTAGATCTTTATCACTTTACCAGTATTACCATAAATTTATATCTTATTTCTGATCTTGCCAATTTCAATTTCATTATGCTTATAGAGAGTGGGTTCCAGCATCAGGTACAACAGATAAATATTTGAGACTCCTTAGGATCCTGCATTTTTACTTTTCAACATGTTATTAAATGCATTTGAATATATCAGGTGGACAGTCTTAATTAGGTACAGATAGTTTTCTCAGTCTTTTTACACACCTAATACTTTTTCATTTTCGTTTAGGTAATATGTCCTTACCCATTAGTACCAGTAGAAATCCACAAGAAGTGTAAATGAAGCCCCAAAGGCTCTAGAGAAGCCATCTGAGCTCACATTTACCAGGGAACAATATCTGAAAATTTGCATTCATGGGGAAGTTTCCTATAAATTCTACTACTCTATTACAAAATATGTTTTCCTACATTGGAAAAGCCATTACACAAATGAAGATTTAATCTAATGAAGATACCTACTGACCATCAAACTTTAAACTTCAGTCTATCATACTAAGAGACAAGCAAGAGCTTCCCTGGTGACTCAGTGGTAAAGAATCTGCCTCCCAACACAGGAGGCTCAGCTTCGATTCCTGGATCAGGAAGATCTCCTGGAGAAGGAAATGGCAAGCCACTCAAGTATTCTTGTCTGGGAAATCCCATGGACAGAGGAGTCTGGTGGGCTACAGTTCACAGGGTCACAAAGAATCGGACACAAGTGAGTGAATGAGCATGCACTGAGATTCTCCCTAAGATGTATATTCTGCAGCAAAATTCTAAGATGTGTGGAATCCAAAACTCCTTGAAAATCTAACTCTAATAAGTTATGAGAAATTTTTAGTTCAAAAAATAATACTTACTCCAAAGTTGGTAGCAGCAAATCGATCTGAGGCAGAAACTTGCACATTTGTTGAAATGGTTGTGTGGGCATAGAAAGCGTTTATATTTGCCAGCAAGGTGCTCATTACAGCAGGGACACCAGGGCACATGTATTTAGAAGACAGACAGGAAAAATGCCTGTAAGACAAAAACAATAAGCGCTTTAAAAACAGAACCTAATTAATTCACATAGCAGCATATCCTCTAACATCAGCAATTAAACAATTTCTTGACTGTATCTGTGAAAAGGAGAGAAAACTCTTACAACCCCTAACTGAGAGAGAATGCAATTCCAGCCTTTTAAAACTTTCTCATTCACAAATGTGAAGTGGTTTAATTAGAATGTGATTTGTCATGGGGACATGTGCATAATTTCTTTCAACTGGAGAGTGCTGTGTGTACACACAAAAAGTGCTATTTCCAGTGGAATCTCACACTGTCGAAAAGCAATAACCCAGGAGTCTATCATCTCTGGCAACTCTGTCCCTAATGATTTTAGTTCCTGAAGTGTTGTATTGTAACCAGAATGTTCTTCCACACTTGCATTCCTCTCACATCAATAAGGTAAACAGGAAGCCCTCCTTTCATCGTACGATGATTAAACAAGTCAGCTTAACATCTGACCTGAGTCCAGTTTGTGAGCTTTTGTTATTAAGGAGTAGTTCCCACAAGCAGTTTTATTTTCTGAGATTTTGCTAAATCCTGGATTTAATTAAGCAAACAAACAAACAGCGAAGACAAATTAAATTATGCCAGCTTTATGCTTAAAGATCATTTCTTTTAAACCTTGAATAATAGTATCATTTACAGACATCAGAAGCATCAAGTATTCAATTCTGTTACTTCTCTCATGAAAACCTGTTTCATTTGAACTCTAACAAAAGACTTAAAAATTGAAAGCACAGCTTGTGATAAAAGTGAAAAGATAAAACGTCCACGGAATAAAGAAAGTTTCAGTACATAATCTGATCCCATTTTGCCCTCATATCTCAGTAATTTGTCTACCACTTAGGCATCTCTGAATTTTGAGAGAAAAAACTGTGAGGACTCAGTTCTTGATGAGTGAGAGATAAGAAAGAGAAGTGGTTACATTCCAAGTCTTTAGTTTGTGTGACTAGGTGAATGATGCTTCTGCCAAATGAATTGGAACTAAAAAGAAGAAAGGGAATTAAGGTGGGGATTATGCATTCAATTGAGTTTAAAGCACGTGTAGAGCTTTCATATAAGAATGTCCACCAGGTTGTTGGAGACCTGGGGATCTGGGGATCACTTCAAAACCATGAGAATGGATAAGGTTATCCAGGGAAATCAAGTAGAATGAAGAACAGTGTCAGGAAATGGAACCTAGGGAATACTGACATATAGTGAACTGGTGGAAGAAAAATAAGTGAATTCTAGGGCTGAGATAAAATTTAAAACGACAGTTTAAAGGAAAGCTAGGCCAGTGGAATTAGGGAACCCATGGAATAGGAGATTTGAAGGGTTAAGGATGACTGATGCTTATAGGTGCATTGAAAGAGTCTTATAAGAATCTAAAATAACTATTGGACTTGACAAATAAACATCATGTGACTGTAAGAAAATCAATGTTAGTGGAGTGACTGGGGGTTGCATCAAGAGGAAAGAGGATGGAAAGTGAGAAAGTAGCAGAAAATGATCAAGGAAAAATGGATCAACACCTGATTTTGTTGATCTTTAGCTAAGGAGTTCATGGAGTTGGCTGAAATTTCTGCAGAGGGAAGTGATACCATCAGGTGAATCTGGGAAGATGACACTGAAGTGGTGTAAAGATGGATTGAAAAGAGTAGGTAGTGGAAGCAGCACAACAACGTAGGGGATGTAGAAGCAAAAACTGACCTTTCTGCCCTGAATCCAATATGACTAAGCACTTCACATACCATAGTCAGAAGGAACAAAATATTTTGCACCTTGAGATGATCTAACAATCACAGAATCACACTGTTTCTTATCTCCCAAATATAAAAACCTCAAATATTTCTCTAAAACCTGAATTTCCTAACAAAACAACTGTGAACTGAAGTTTAGCCATGATATATCTGAAAATGTATAATGACCTCTGGGAAGTATGAATACCAGGTGGAAAGCTGCTGCTTCTGCCAAGAATAACACAAGAACACCATGTAAACCAGGCAGCCTTAGGAATGTTATGTTTTTTTTTGGCCAGGGCTTCTAAAGTTTCATTCCCCCTCTGCACTTGTTGTTATTAAATAGATTTTCCTTTTCTGATTTTTTTTCTCCCTAAGGTCACAGAGCAAGTAAGGTGATTAAGGATTAGAGTTCAAGCAATGCAAGTTCAGAAACATCTCTCTTAACTACCAGGGTGACCTTCTCAATTTATTATCCTCCCTCTCTAATATTGTATATTATGTATTGTGTATGGATCTGTTTCCTCCAGAATACTTAGTTGTCATTTCATCCAGCTCACCTCTAGCATAATGTTTTCTTGTACACAGGAGTTGGTCCCTAAGTGTTTAATGAAGCCAAGTGAAAGCAGGATGAGTTATCGGTATTTAAGGACAGTTAGTGTATAGGATGTGCTCTTGGTTACTTTGAGTATGACAGTTTATTACAACATCCAACTGCTCTGTGAACATTGAGTTGAAGTGCATAGCAGTTAATGCCATAATGATCACAACTCTGAAGGTGAACTGTATTCTGCTTATAATTGGTACCCTGAGAGCAATATTTTAAATTTTCCTGAGTATTAGGCATACATTCATCTTAGTGACCTGACAGAAATATTTTACCTCCTGATTCAAATGTAACTGAGATGATTTGTGGGGCCTGATGGGAGGTAGTCAGCTGTACATGATCTATTGTGATCTCCCTGTAGAAATAGCCACAAAAACCAAAAAAGGATGTGAAATCACAGCAGTGCAAAAAATCAGGTGTGGCAATCAAAGCTCTTCCTATATCTGGGAGGGACTTTGCCTAAGCTTACAGCAGTTGAATAGCCTGAGAAGTCTTCAGTGACTAACTAGTGTCTAAACTCTTAAACTGTTATCCTCCTCCCGTTTCTTCCTTAGTCAGGTTATTTCTAGGAACCATACACTGTGACAACACCCCACATCCGAAATGTGAGCCCTAGGCGGCTGGCCAGCAAGGCTGTCACTCACTTTCCTGTTCCCTGGTAATGGCTCCCAAGGCGGTGAACCTGCCTCCTGTTTCCCACACCTTCTCAGTCTACGCCCACTGAAGAGTACACGGCTCCCAAGACTGCCATACGGCCGGCGCAACAGGGGACGGGCAATGGGATTTGAAGCTACTTAGAACAAAGGGCTGGAAGAACGCGGAGAATAGTACACCCTGGAGATTAAATACAGCCTTTGATGTTCTGCTCTAGCAAGACAAGAATTCACAGGTTGCTTACATTATCCAGGAAAAGGCATCTGGCTCTTCCACAGAGCCCACCAATAGGAGCAGGTACATATCTTTGCTTAATCTAGAAGCATATTGCTTTTGGATAAAGTCATAGCACAGAGGGAACATTTTTGAAGGATCACTTACCATTATAGGATCTGCAGGTGAATACTGTACCATCCTGGTGGTTTACAAATTCTAATTTAGATTCAAAGAATCCCATAAGTTGCCAAACAAGCAGAATGCAAACATCCATGCATGTTATTATCGCAACACACACACGTGCGCGCACACACTTAAACAGCAAAAATAACTAAGAACTTGGTAGGAAATACTATTAACTAAAATGGTCAAAATGTTGTCTCTGGGTGGCACTACATATTTTTGTAATTAAAAAACATATCTTGTACTTTTAAAAACACTTTACCATTAGCATGTTTTATTGCCCTAATTGGAAAAATATAATACATACATATTTTAAAAGTTAATTCAACTTTTGCTCTATTGTTGATTTTTATAAGTCTTTATATAACTTTTAGCACCAATAAGAAAGAAAGTACTACAACTCCTTTTAAATTTTGTTTGACTAAGGTTAACTTTTCTTTATATTTTTCTTTTTTTTAATAAAACAGTAAAACTTTTCAAGTATACAATGCATAACCTATATTATACTTTACAGTATCATTAAATAAGGTTTTTATGGATGAAGTTAAATCATACATAAGATACTCTTTTCTTTCAAAATGTATCATAGACCTCATTTCTGATTGAGTAAATGCAAAAAAACACTATAAAATTACTAAGAAATAGAAGTCAGTTTTATAATAAAATACATTACTGGGAGAACAGGATTCACACACACAGTACAATATATGTAATACAGATAACGAATAAGGACCTACTGTATAGCACAGTGAACTCTACTCAGTACTTGGAAAAGAATCTAAAAAAGAGTAGATGTAAAAAAAAAAAAAAGAGTAGATGAATGCATATGTATAACAGATTCACTTTGCTGTACACCTGAAATTAACATCATTGTAAATTGTACCCCAATAAAAATTAAAAATAAATATCAATAATTAATTTTAAAGATATTAATAAAATGATGTCTCATAACTTCCAATGGAAAATATAGGGATGAAAATGGTAAAGATGTGAAAAATCAAAGGGCAAAGAGGAAAATTTAACATTTCACTAAATAATACTGCTCATCCCATTGGATTTTTATACCAGTTTCAATATCAAATTAGCATCACTATGGTGCTTTTCTTGTCAGTTGGTTAAAATTACAAACAACAAAATTTGTTGTTTGTTAAAGGGAAAAGAGATCTAAGTCATAAATATGACCCTCCTAAATTTGGTCAGAATTTCATTGAACATGTCTCAATATACCTAAAAATTAAAGACTCAATATACCTAAAAAATTAAATTAAATACAATGCTTAAAAAGATGTTGTAACCTTTTGGAATTTCTATTAAAATGTTCTTCAGAACTAGTGACTCAGGAATTAAACGATCAGTTGGAATACCAGGATTAAAAGTTTAAGCATTTGATATTAACTAAAAAAATAAAACACTGACACTGAAACCCAGAAACAGAATTTTCAAGTCACTCTAAGAAATATAATATTTTACCTAGCTGGTAAAAATACCTGTACTTCTTTAGAAACTATGACTATGAATACAGTAAGTTAAAGACAGTAGCAGTTGGTATCAAAACAATAATCTATACCGAACTTTCTTTTTCACCTTCGCTT